CCATCTTTCCTTTCAATCCAGCTGACTTGCTCCACCATTAATAACCCATGGCCCCAGATAAGTGGTGAAGGTGGTTATCTGGAGATTTGGGGACAGTGTGACAGCTGCAGCCTTTGCCCCTAATTTGGAAGCGTTTGTCCTCTGGTGACTTCATAAGTATTACGTATACCCAACCAGTGAGCTCTGGAAACTCTTTTCTGCATCAGTGTGCTCCTGCCTTTTCGGCATCAGGTTGGTTACTCAGGCCCTCTGGTGAACAGTTCCAGGGCTTAGTATCAGCAAGCACCAGATTATACAAATTCTGAATTTCTCTGGTCAATCACAAAAGGAAACTGTAAAATACCTTAAGATAAGCAGGAGTTAAGAATATCCTGAATGGCGCATTAACCATCACAGACACTGTTCTAGGAGAAACAAAAGCAGACGGGAATGCTGGCCAAGGCCTATCTGAAACTCCATCAACTTCAGACTCTGCCGCTAAGGTGAGTGCCCATGTAGCTCACCTCAATTCCCCTTTTTAAACCCTTCCACTAAATGACAGAATTTTTAGGAATGCTGTCTTTCTTCCAACTGGCTTGACATTATCTTTGATTCTAATCCAGCAGCACATTTGCCTTTGAAATAAATGTCTGCTCGTGGATTCTCTCACTTGTAGGTAATAGGAGAATGTCTAGTATTATCAGACCTGGGAGGTGGGGCATTTATATTGATTTGGTTTTACTTCTCTACTCTAATTTCAGATTCAGGCTTAAAAGTTTGACAGGACTGGCTTTTAAAAGAAATGACTCCTCTGGTGTGCGTGTGCACGCGCGTGTGAATGTGAATACAGCTCAGTGTTTATTGTTCTTAACTGGGGGCAACCTGAGTCAGCTGGAGGCTTATGGAAGTAGGCCAGGTAAAATGAGTGAGTCTTAATCAGAATAAATGAAGGGACCTTGTGGAGAGAAGCTGAAGAGCCAGATTCCATTTCAGAAAGTTGAGTAATCTGCATCCTGCTGGGTCAGTCTGTGGCTTTTAGCCTGAAGCAAAACAGCCCCCAAGTGCTGAAGCAGTGCTGAGCTTCTCTTCTACCTGTGCCTTCTATTTCATCAGTCCCGAACTGCTTATTTTCAAAATGCCTGTCAGCTGTGCTCTCCGGAGTATGCTCACGAGCTGCACCCTGACTTTTCTCACAATGCACTTTTCAAATACTGGGGTGAATTTTCATGTTACCCGTTCTATGAAAGGTTAAAGGGAGGGCTTGGCCTTTAAGCTCAGGTAAGCAGACCTTGAATAGGGCTATGTGCCTAGGATGGTCAAGGCAGAAGCAAAACTTGTCTGGCCTTTCCACGGAGACTTTCACTGACACGCATACCCTCCTTTCCTTTCCAGGCTGTTTTGATTGAGCTGTTTCGCCTCCACTCTCATATTTCACGTGGGGGTTGCTGCCTTGGCAGCATGGCTGCCTGTGTCAGTGGGAAGGAAGAGGTAAAGAGTGAAGGCCCTGTGTATGATGTGTTTTCAAGGAGTTTCCTGTGTGCCTATGGGGAATGTGTGTGTGAGAGAGAGAGAGAGAGAGAGAGAGAGACACACACACGTACTTGGATATCCTTATTGCCCCACCTAGAATTAATGTCACTTTTGAAGCAGCGGAATAATATTGCTATTTTAGGTGATGATAAGGAAAGGTCAGTTTCTCTGTGGCTAGAGGGAGTCTGTACTGGATAATTTGGTAGTGGGAAGTGTTGACCATTTGGCCCCAATTTTTATTTCTGTCAGTAGAATGTGTATTACAATGAATTTGAAAATGGAGGTATAAGAGAAAGATACATGTAAGTACATGTCATCAAAATGAAACCTATTAAAAGCCACATGACTACAATAAATAAACCAAACAATACCAAATTATCTGAATGTTGGTGCTGCATTGTATAGATGACTTTAACTAGATGGCACTTTCCTAATATTTGCGATCCCTAGTTCTTCATATGTGTTGTCTTATAGTCAGTGCCTTATATGCTTACTGCCTTTTTAAAACCTTCTCTAGGATGTTTAATTGAAGTCACTTGATGATAAAATCTGGGTGTTATGTACATACTGTAGAAACATACAATTCAGGTCAACAGACACTGTCTCCAGCTAAATAAAACCCAGTTCCTGTCATCAGAGAGTTCACACTATGGAAGCAGAGATAGATATAGAAACATAAAGAAACATGATAAATTCCAAGATGTGCTATGGGAACACAAAGAACCGGGCAGGGAAGAGTTGAACCCTGTTCTATAATGGGCTGCTAAGACGAATGATACTTTGATCCCTTTGAACTTCCTTCTCCCAGATTCATGTGAAGTGGTTTTGGACCTGGAGAGCTCTTTTCACTTCTTGATCTCAGAGGGAGAGGTAGAGAGAAGAGTATGTACAGCTCTATAAAGTCTAGAGAACAAGAGCCCTGAGAAAATTATTTCTGTACAGATACAGATTGGCTTTGATTTAATTTAAATAAACTGGCTCTCAAAAATTCTAAGAATACTAACTACTCACACAGTTTTGCTTTCATTTACACACAGATGAGGAAGCATCTGCAGCTCTGCATTTTATTTGCTATAAGCAAAAAGTGGTTTAAGATATTTAAGTATTCGAAGCTTGGTTGTATTGAGTCCTCACATGGCCCAGTTCAGCCCACTGCAGTTTTTTTTTTTTTTATGACACTTACATAATACTCCAAAAGGAGAGATTTTTAATGGATAAATTGACACAAACTTTTCCTCTATTGGTCATATCTGCTGAAAGAGCACTTCATGATGGCTTGCTCCCTTATTTCCTTATTTCCTCCAAGCTCATTGCTATTTTATATAATTTACATCCCTCTGCCACAGTTCTCCAAATGACCTTCTCTTTAGAAAACCAAATCAACCAGCAAAAAAAATTTTAAAACCTTCCTGAAAAACAAAGCAGGGCTCTGATTCAAGGTTCATTGTGTGGGTTTCCAGAGAAGGTTGGTATGATTGTGATGAATGCAAATAATTTATCAGCCCTGCAGTCAGAGACAGCAGTCAGCTGCAGGTTTTTAACAATAACCTCTACAAGTGGGCCATGTAGGGAATTGCTAGATTCGTGACACCATACCTGGGGGCTTTCTCTATAAAAAAATGTTTCTTTTTAGAACCACTTTTATGTATAGGCTGAAGTTTATCTGTTATCATTTGATACCTGTGCTTTTTGAAGTACAAAGCCCGTGTTACTTGGAGAGGTGTGGGTTCGTTCTTTCATGCTGTGGCTTGGAGGCGTGCGTTTCTTGCTGACAGCATTCTCCAGAGTCTTTTAGTCATAAGGTGGTGGGAGAAAAAGCGAAGCAGGAGATTCTGAGTATATTATATGCAGCAGTGTAACCCCCTAGTTACAGGTGTTTTTTGTTTTGTTTTGTTTTTAAGTATATGGTTTAATCATTTGCCTTCAATCTTCCTTTAAATATTATAAAGCCTTGATGACTGGATCATTTTTGAACAGGTAACTTTATGGCAGGAGAGCTATTTTCAGCTATACCACTATTTTGATTAATATTCTCACTTATAGCTTGGTTGTAAAAATGGCTTTGGACTAAACCTTAACAGAAAGGTCTTTGAAATTAATAGCAATTGTATCTAGTTAATGCAAACTTCTGATTTTTATTTTTTCAAAAAAAATTTTTTAATGTTTATTTTTGAGAGAGAGAGAGAGAGACCAGGCAGAGAGAGAGGGAGACACAGAATCCAAAGCAGGCTCCAGGCTGCATGCTGTCAGCACAGAGCCTGATGTGGGGCTCGAACTCACGAACTGCGAGATCATGACCTGAGCTGAAGTCGCACACTTAACCGACTGAGCCACCCAGGCACCCCAAACTTCTGACTTTTAAAATAAATATCAGGTAAAAGCTATAGGCATTAGAATTGTTATAGACTGGTTTCTGTCTTTCCACCTAGGTGACCAGAACTTGAGCTTTTTTTTCTTTTCCTTCCCATTATTGCTTGGGAGAAGGAAAATTGAATGGATCTAGATGTCATCTGTGATGGATGGCTGTTTGTCTAGGTGAACTGGAAACTATTTTCCACTGCCACTTTGTTCAGAAAGTTCTATGGTGAAAGCCTGTCCTTCCTTTGGCGTGTTCTGACATAGATAACTTGGGGAACTGAAATGTGGTTGGTCCTTTCACGAGGAAAGATTGCTTTGTGGTTTGAAAGGATGTTTCAGTGTAGGCAGGAAAGGCTGTTTTCTAGCTGGTTACTTTAGACGCAAAGATCTCTTAATCCATTTCGCTTTTCTTCGGTTTCTTTTTGTACATGTCCTCATACCTCCCATTCAGTGCTCTCTCCAATTTAACCCGGAAAGCCAGTTCTCGTTTCTTAGTGAGCTGAGAACTTTGCTTTTCTCTCCTGTCCCTGCCTTCTTTTAGTCAAGGAAATTTAATTACGATTAAGGAGCTGATTCGAACGACTACAATTCAAGTAGTCAAGTAGTGGAGCTGACATCTTTTGCTAGATTTTGTTAGTTTAAAAAATAGCATAAATTTATTTCAATATTGGGTAAATGTTTAAAATTAAACAATTCTTTGAACACCTTCTACATGCCAAGCGTTTTACTGTGCCTACAAATACAGAGTTACAACATACAACTCCAGCACTTCAACAGGGCACAGTGTGTGAGGTAAGCAAAGGGATATGATCAGTGGGAGAAATACTGTGATAGAGGATATGCAGAGAGGAATCTGGGGGTAAAGGTTTCATCAAAGAAGGCTTTCTGGAAGGAGTGGTACCTGTGCTGAAATGTACTATTGGAACAACAGAAGTAATGGCAGCTAATATATACTGAGCTTTAACTACATACCAAGCATTGTGTTAAGTACTTTGCATAGATTACCTTCTTTATATCTATAATAACCCTGTGAGTTTAGGTACTGTTACCATCATTCCATCATTCCTGTTTTTACTTATGAAGAAACCAAGAAACGGGACCCAGGATGACACAGCTAGTAAGTTGACTGTATAGAGATTCAGACTCTGGCAGTCTTTATGTCAGGGGCCAAAGCCTCAACCCATGGGGTGAGGGACAGAAGATGGGGTGAGATGGAGTAAGGGTATTGATCTTGATATGGGATTTTCTTTTGGAAACAATGTTTTTTTAACTCAGTTTTCCAGACGGTTCTGTATGAACCTCACCTTGGAGATTGGATGTATTTTTTCATCAAACCAAGATTAAATGAGGGGGTTTTCATAGGTCCTTTAAAGTGTCCATATTCTGCCTTAAATAAGAGATTAAAAGAACCTTTTCCCCCTCTTTGCATGTAAATATTGCCATCTTCTAAGGAGATGTTATGATTTTTCTCTTCAGCAGTTTGCCACAATCCAGTACTTTCAAGACTTCTTTAGCGACAGTCTTACAGGAGGCGACTTACTCTTCCAAGTACGCTTAATCAGAGAAGTGCTGTAGGACTCAGGTTTTGTGATTGAGTCGCTGGAAGCTTGTTTTCCATCTAGCAGGCAATCAGGAGTTAATGTGAACAGTGGCTGTGAGACATCTGTTGGGCAGCTGGTTCCATGGGGAGTTTGTCTTTGATCAGAATGGTCTTTGGGAAAAATGGAAATATTACATGTTGTCAAGGAAAAGGAGTCAGAATATGGACACAAAGCCTATTGATTCTTGTGTAGCAGTTAGTTTAGTTTCAGCAAATCACCTATACCACAACATTTAACAAACTGTGCTCTTAACAAAGCTAGGCACACAGCAAAGGCAATGAATGGTAATTATTTTCTTTTCAAAGGGCTGCTTTGTGAGGCTGCTGCCACCTTTCATTCTAACCTGTGTGCAGTTGAGGAAAAAAGTGTTGGCCCTTTTGAAGAGGAGAGAGGGCACCAGTTATTACCCTGGCTTTTTCCAAACTTCATAATATCTGATTGTGCCCTTCAGAGGATTTAGTTACCACCTCTGCTTTGCTTTCTGAATATGCTACCCCACTGTGGGAGAGAACTGGTGTGGAGAGTCACTGGAACCATTTTTGTGTTTGTTTGTTAGTGGGTGTGCAGGTGATAGACATGCTGACAGTCAAAAGGAAGGTGGAGGGTGCCCCCTGAGGTGGTTTGTATTTGAACGGTTCCTGTCAGTTGTTTTGGGGATTGATAATATCCCTGCTGTCTGCTTTTCATATGGCAGCCATCTTGGCTAAGACCTATTGCTTCTAAAAGAATGCATGCTTTTGGTTATAGCTGCAGGAAGACAGTTGGTGTGGAGCCATAGTTCAGTCACTGACTTCACCAAATTTAGGGCTTCTGCTTTACTGCTTGATAATAGTTCATTACAGGTATAATAATCAAAGGAAAGCTTTGAATGGATTCTTGACCATATTATAAAATTCTGAAATTTTAGTTTGAATGAATATTAAAAGTAAGTGCAAATTTTGCTTATATAATGTTCTTACCATGCCTTATTATCCACAGAAACTTGGTTTCCCTTTGTCCCCCAAGAGAAGAATTTACCAACTGTTCTTTTTTTTTTTTTTTTTTTTTTTTTTAATAACACTGACGGGGCGTTCTCTCTACTCTCGTTTCTGCCATGTCAGTCCTTCCATTGGGATTCAGTTTGATGAATTTGGTTAAAGTATGAATTCCCAATGACCATAACAGTATGGTTCCTAAAGTAGTGGGTGTTCTGTATCTGCTTCCTTCTTGGTTGCCAGCTCTGTCTTGGAAACTCTGAAGTTTCCAAGTCAGCTGGAAGAGTCAGGCTTGTTACCTGAGAATTACAAATGCCAGAGGTAACAGCATTGTCTCTAAGTATTTCTAGAGTTGTTCACAGCTTCCTAAAGTATTTGATGAACTTCCACTGGTAATAATTTTTTTTTTCTATAGACTTCTCCACTCTGCTGCTGTGGATTATGAAACCTGGTCTAGATTTTGTGCTAGATTTATTAGAATTTTGTATTTTGAGAGGCGGTAATAATAAGTAAGTATTGCTAGTTCCAGAGCTTCCTGTTTTGGGGATTCTCCAAATAATACATATGGGAGCCCTGTACTCTCTGCTTTGCCATGGCTTTAGGAGGAAAGGGATTGGCTCTGTCCTCCTGTTCTCCACTGGGTAAGCTTTCTACATGCTTCTACCAGGAGTGAGTTCCAGACTTTCCCAAAGGGTTTTCAGTCTAAGGTTCTATGTAAGCCCTCTTTTGTAAGGATTTAATATTGCTTTTGCTTAGGCCCTGGGAGCGGAGCCAGGCTATGACGGCGTGGGCAGGAGAGGAACTGATCTAAAATTGGAGCTTATTTTCATCTTACCTTTTATCCAAGTTACTTCTAGAATCCAATATTGACTCTACCAGGGCTCCCCTGCTTCCTCCTCTGATGAACTCTTTTTCTCAAGAGTAACAACAATGAAAACAATGAAAATTGAATCTTAGGTTAAATTACTTTCCAAAGGTTAAATTGCAGTAAATGATTGATCTAGAGCTGAATCTGGATCCCATGTCTTTTAGCCCTCTAAGAGGGCTAAATTATGAATTATGATCTACTGAATAGATGGAAGAGAACTGGTTTCCCCCCATATTTTTATTATTGAACACATAATGGAGCAACATTAAATAACATTTAATAAAAAAAAAAAAAATAACTCAGTCAAAATCCTGCTAAGTAAACATGTGAACTGAGAGATCAGAGTACCTCCACTCCTGACTGAGATTAATTTTCTTAGCAATGCCATAGACAGTTAACCTGCCCCAGACCTCACGTTTGTTTTTACTCTTGGTCACTGTCAAAGACTTAAGTGCTTCTGACCATTTGTCCTTTCCCAGGCTCTCTATTCCCTTGAGCTAAGACAAAGGATCAAATTGTCAGTTAAGATTCAGATGAATCAGAGATCTTAGCCGTCATTACTAAGCTTTAGTAATAATTGTAAGAATACGTCAATCAAAAGGTACAAGTGAGGTAGAGAGAGTCTGAAATATCCTGTGTGAACCCCCAGGTTGTTCCTTCCCTCACTGAACGGGTTCTCTCCAGCCCAGAGTAATGGTAAGATCTCTAACTGAGGCTTCCAGGTCACCTCATAAAGCAGGGGAAGTGTTTGGGTTATGAAACGTTTCTCTTTTATGCTGCCACATAGTTGTGTAGCTTATGTGACATTCTTCAGGGAGCCATGGAAGCAAAAGAAGATCTTTGCAGGTCAGACCAGTCTTATAGCTCCCTCCCCCCACCCCCACTTTTATCTCCTCTTCTTTCAAAGATCTGGATTTGACCAGAGCTGCTAGCAACAACCAGATAATTAGAACTTTTTGCTGTTTTCCCTTCAACTTTGTAATTCCCATAAATTTCCTTAACCATTTCTCCTGAGTCTAAATCTGTTCCCCCAGATTCCCCAGTACCTCTGTGATTTGCCTCACAACTTTCACCATTTGTACTGAGGATGGATAGGCAGCACCCCTGTCATCAGTTCATCATCATAATTTTCCATCCTCTCCTTTTTTCTTGCTAGAAAGTACCTAACCGTTGTGATTTGTGTGAGTCTGACATGACATTCTTGAATAACTCTGTGTTTTTCAACTCACTCACATTTACCACCCTTCCTTCCCAACTTTTTAACTGTGATAAGAATCCATTGCATTATTAAATCCTCTCATACTGAAACTTGTGAGTTAAGATATTAGATAGATCTGGCTTTCTCTTGGAGGAAGACATGGTTTTCCCTCTAGCCTGCAGGCGATGGTTGCTCATTCTTCCATATTCCATGTACCTCTGAATTTGGAGGTGGAACTGATGTCCTCATCATTCGTCACTGTCACTTCTTGAACAGTACTCCTCCAGTGTCATGGAAAAAGTTCTGCTCTTTGAGGTTTATACCACTTCCTACCCTTCCCTAATCATTATTCATCTACCAACCATCATTCACCCCCCTCATTTATTGTGGCATATGGGCCTCATCTCTTTTTGAAGTCTTGTTATCAGCCTGGATGTCTTCAGTATGACCCACCTGATATCAGGCCACCTGGTTTCCTGACAGTTTACTCATGGATTCTTTCAATACTTCATGTATGCACATGTGCATTTATTTGTGCATTTATTCAAAAAGATATTTTGGGGGGTGCCTGGGTGACTCCGTTGGTTAAACATCCAACTTCGGCTCAGGTCATGATCTCATGGTTTGTGAGTTTGAGCTCTGCATCGTGCTCTGTGCTGATAGCTCAGAGCCTGGAACCTGTTTCCGATTATATGTCTCCCTTTCTCTCTGCCCCTCCCCGACTCACGTGTGTGTGTGTGTGTGGGGGGGGGGGGGGTACGCGCATGCTCTCTCAAAAATAAATAAACATTAAAAAAAAAGGTTTGAAAAAGATATTTTGGGGCACCTGCAGTGTAATGTGCCAGTCTCATGCTAGAGTTGGAGGTACAGTGGTGAGAGAAAAAAAAAACAAAACAGACATGGTCCTGTCATCCTAGGGCTTACAGTGTGGGGTGGGGTGGGGAAGACATTGAGCAGATGATCGCACAAAGAAATGTAATTTTATGTGTTATAATTGTTTTGAAGGAAAGGGGCAACAGGGCCCAAAGAGTGTGTAAGCGGAGAGACCTGACCTGGCATAGAGGCTTCTCTGAAGAAATGATGGCTGTGCTGATATCTCATAAGAGGAGTTAACTGGGTAAAGAAGGGAGACAAGAGAGTTCCCACTAGAGAGTGCAGCATGCGCAAAGCCCAGTTAGGAGAGGGAGCATAGTCCATTTGAGGAATGAAAGAAGCCTGGTGAGTTGGAGCACGACAGAGGGAAAGCAATGATACAAGTTGGGGCCAGAAAGGTAGGTATGGTCTAGATCATACAGGATCTTCTTAGGTTATGTTAAGAATTCTGGTTATCAGAGCACCTGGGTGGCTCAGTTGGTTGAGCATCCAACTCTAAATCCAACTCTCATGGTTTGTGGGTTCAAGCCCTGCATCCGGCTCTGCATTGATGGTGTCGAGCTTGGGATTCTCTCTCGCCCTCTCTCTCTGCTCCTGCCCAGCTCACACTCTCTCTTAAAATTAATAAACATTAAAAAAATTTTTTTTGGTTATCATTCTAAGAGCCTTGGAAAGCCATTGAAATTTCTGTTTATTTAAATTTTTAAAATTTATCTTTCAGAAGATATTACATGTACATTGTACAAATTCAAAAGGTAAAAAAGGGTATTTAGTGAACCGACAAGTCTCTCACTTCAGTCTTTTGAGCTACCTCATTTCCCTACTAAAAGCAACCGTGCCAACTTCTTGACTATTCTTCCAAAAATAGTCTATGCAAATATATGCATAAACATTATATTCTTTCTCTCCCTACACCAATTGTAGCATACTATGCACACTGCTCTGAACTTTTTTTTTTTTAATTTTTTTTTTTTCAACGTTTATTTATTTTTGGGACAGAGAGAGACAGAGCATGAACGGGGGAGGGGCAGAGAGAGAGGGAGACACAGAATCGGAAACAGGCTCCAGGCTCCGAGCCATCAGCCCAGAGCCCGACGCGGGGCTGGAACTCCCGGACCGCGAGATCGTGACCTGGCTGAAGTCGGACGCTTAACCGACTGCGCCACCCAGGCACCCCTGAACTTTTCTTTTTCTACATAACGTACCCTAGATATCACTGCATATTAGTACTGTATAAAGTAGCTTTATTCATCCCCATAACTGCATGGATCGTCTTTAATTTAATTAACCAGTTCTTATTGAGAAGCTTATAAGTTATTTCCAATATTTTTTTCATTTCAGACAACACACAGTGAATATTTTTGATAGCATGTCACATGTGCGATAGTATACCTGTTCAGTTAATTCCAGGTTTAGCTACCTTTATTCTATAAAGGCTGAATTACTTTCCTTCAGAGCACTTATGCTGGTTTGCAATCCTGTATTCATTATTATGTCTATTTAATCTAATTTAATCCTACATTCGTTATTGTCTGTTTAATTGTGTCTTCCCCATCTAAATTATAATCTCCATCAAAGCAGTCCTAGCATGAGATAGATGCATTGTAATATTTGTTGAATGGATGAATGAATAAAGAAATAAAGATAATAGGTAGGTGGGAAGAAAACGTGCCTTCTTAATTAAACCTTTGAGCTTATCTTTTACTAGACAGGAACAATTTGCATCTCTGTAAAAATCAAAATCATTTGTAACTTATCAGTCTTCTATAAATTAACATCTAAATTTAGGCTGTACTCATTAGTTAATAGTTCAAACAAAAGTACATTCTTTGGACCAGGGGTTGGCAAACTTTCTTAAAGGGCCAGATAGTAAAAATTGTAGGCTTTGTGAGTCTTAAGAAAAAACTCTATTGCAGCTAGTTAACTCTGCCATTGTGGAGCAAAAATAGCCATAGACATTTTATATGTAAATGAGTGTGACTATGTTCCAGTAAAACTTTATTTACAATAAATAGGCAGCAGCCAGAGTTACCCTTTGGGCCATAGTTTGCTGCCCCTGGTTTATTGAATCAGTAGTGATACCCCTTCTTTCATTCCTGATATTGTTAATTTGTGACTGCTATCTTTTTTTTTTTTTCTTTTTTTTCCGGTCATCAGTCTGACTAGAGCTTTATCAGTTTTGTTGATCTTCCAAACAACCAGATTTTGGTCTCATTGATTTTTTTTTTTTTCTGTTTTTTATTTGTTTTCGTTTCATTGGTTATTCTTATCTTTAGCTTTTCTCTTCTCAGTTTATTTTGGGTATAATTTACCCTTCTAGCTTTTATGATGAAAGCGTAGATCATTGATTAAAAAAATTTCTTTTTTTTAAAGTTTGGCCTTTTTTTCTCTAGATCATTTGGAATGTGTATAATACATATGTACAAACAAAAAAGCTTCATTTAAAAAAATATATAAGCCCATCAGACATAGATTTCTGCAACTTTTAAAATTTAAAGTATCATGGGACTCTTTCTGTTGCTGTATATAGATTCTACCTCATTGTTTTCAGTTGCTGCATAGCATTCTAGAGTAACTGTATCTGTGTTGATAGACATGTAGATTTTTCATATATTTCACCTGTACAAACTATGCTGTAATGAAATTGTCACATGTGAGAAGTTCTTCAGGATAGACGTGCACAGAGTATTTTTGTTATATGTGTAATTTATTGAATGTCTCCCCTTTGATGCTCAGAAGGAATTAACTCGATGTGAATTACCACACTAACTACAATTGGTGGCTCTGTCTTTGTTATGAATTTTCTTATGTTGTTTAAGGGCTGAACTTTGGGGAAAGTCTTCCTACTTTCATTACATTCCTGAGGTTTTCCTCCATATAGATTCTCTGATGTTCAGCAAGGCCTGAGCTGTGTCTGAAAGCTTTCCCATATTTCTTGCAGTAATAGGCTTTTTGTTCAGTATGGATTCTCATATCCAATAAGTTCTTCATAAAGACTTTCACACAGTCATTACACCAGTAGAGTTTCTTTTCACTGTGAGTTTTCTGATGTCCAGCAAAGGATATATACCTGAAAGATTTTCCCCATTTATTTCAGTGATAGGGTTTCTCTCTTGTATGTATTCGTTGATGACTAATAAGGGTTGAGCTCTTCCTAAAGGCTTCTCCACATTCATTACAGCAATGTGGTTTCTTACCAGTATGGATTTTCTGA